TCATTACACTCACATTTTATTTTAAATATAACACCCTTGGGGTCGTCTCTGGGTTGTTTTATTCTATTATCTTTGATCTAGTTGATTAATTGTTGTTATTGTGTTATCTGCTAAATGGTTTCTACCTGTTGTCTATATATTATATCTTTCATCTTGTTAATCAATTTGTTGTTATTGTTTTATCTGCTATATGGCTTCCAAAGTGTTCATCTATATATTGCACCACGTTTTTCTTAATTAATCATTATTTGCTTGATAACGATACCTGTATGTGTATTGAAACGTAGCATGTTAATAAAATTCAGAAGTAGTATATCCATACAAGTGTGTTTATTTTTATATTTATTCTTGTTTCATGTGGACTGGCACATGTTTTGGGGCAGGCAGCACTTTGATATCTGGATTAAATTTTCAAACACAACTAATGGTTAAAAAAAGATCATCAACACCAATCTGTTTCCGCTAATTTTATTGAAACAGATATATGATAACAGATAACAGAAATATTGAATTTCATACACATACATATATACAAGCTGAAATTCTGAGCACCGAAGAATAGTGTGAATATCTATTTACATTTGAGAAATAATAACTATTAAACAATATATATAACGATGAAAATACATGTAGTAATAACATATAATAAGGTACGTTATACAATGTTAGAATACAATATAATCGTGTGTAACAGAACCAGTGGCTGCCAGACAGGATACGCCCACATTTTCGAGAGATGGATAGAGAACAAGTTAACAAGTAAGTGATTTTTCCTACTATTCAGGAAATTACAATTCAATATGCACGAATATCGAAAGGAACTGAGAACTTTGTGTTATAAACTTACATTTCAAGTTTCAACAAAATCGGATAAAAATTGTGACGTCTATAGGGTCCACAACCTTGATATACCGTATTTTTACGCTATTTGAGAACGAACGGCGGACATTTTGTCTGTCAATTTTGGGTTGATTTAATGAAATTCGAATTCAGTCGTCCTTAGGGTGTAACGGTGATATAATAATACAGTTTTTTAAATCGGATAAACAATATGACTTCTATAGGGTCCACAAGCTAAAAACGCGATTTTTCGTACAATCAGGGGCCATAATTCAGGAAGTTACGGTCCGATATGCACGAATATCGAAAGGAACCGAGATCTTTGGGTTATAAATTTACATTTAAAGTTTCAACAAGATCGGATAAAAATTGTGACCTCTATAGGGTTCACAAGCTAAAAACATCAAAATCGGATAAGAATTGTGACCTGTAGAGAGTCCACAAACAATTGTGGACGGACGGACGGACAGACAGACAGGACAGGGGCGACGGCATAATACGTCCACATGAAAATGTGGGCGTATAAAAATTGTGACCTCTGTAGTATCCACAACCTTGATATACCATATTCTTACGCTATTTGAGAACGAATGGCGGCCATTTTGTCTGTCAATTTTGGGCTGATTTTCACGAAATTCAAACTCAGCGTCCTTAGGTTGTAACAGTGATATAATAACACAGATTTTTAAATCGGATAAAAATTATGACTTCTATTGGGTCCACAAGCTAAAAACGCGATTTTTCGTACAATCAGGGGCCATAATTCAGGAAGTTATGGTCCGATATGCGCGAATATCGAAAGGAACCGAGATCTTTGGGTTATAAACTTACATTTCATGTTTCAACAAAATCGGATAAAAATTGTGACCTCTATAGGGTCCAAAAGCTAAAAACGTGATTTTTCGTACAAACAGGGGCCATAATCCATGAAGTTTCGATCCGATACATGCCAATATCAAAAGCAGCCAAGATCTTTTGGAGATAAACCTATATTTCAAGTTTCGTCAAAATCGGATGAGAATTGTGACCTCTAGAGTGTCCACAAACAAATTGTGGATGGACAGACAGACATCCGGACGGACGGGGCGACGGCATAATACGTCCACATGAAAATGTGGGCGTATAAAAAACAAGCCAACAGTGAGGCTGATGTCCCCCGCTGAAATCCCAAAATAAATAGATGACACATATTAATTAATCGCACATTTATGTTTTTCAAAAGTATTGAGCAATCAAACTATACACTGAGTTTCACCACTCTCTATCAGATACAATCAAGATTATCTTGTCCCAAAGCATTGACCAATGAAATTGATCAGCTCTGCTTAGCTTCAGCTCAAAATGTTAATCATTGAACTCAGTCAAGACATTCACCTAATGAACATCTACATCAAGTTTAAACATTCTACCTTAATTGAATGCAGAGTTCTTATGTTCCAAAGTCTTGACCAATCAAATTGCTTATCGTTCCATAGCCTAAGCAGAAAATTCTCAACATCGAACTTAGTCAAGGTAATGATATAATGAATCTATATTCGGAGTTTCATCGCTCTCACTTCATTATAACCAAAGTTATGGTGCCACAAAGCATCAACCAATCAAATTGCTTATCTTTGCTTACCCTAAGCAGAAAATTTTCATCTTCAAACTCCATCAAGGCATTCACCTAATAGAAACCTACGCCAAGTGTGAACATTCTATCTCAATTAGAATGAGAGTTATTGTGTTCCAAAGCTTCGGTAAATCAAATTGCTTAGCGCTCTGCTCACTCTGATCAGAAAATGCTCATTATCGAACTTACTCAAGGTACTGAAGTAATGAAATTATACACCAAGTTTCGTCACTCTCACTTAATTAGAACTAAAGTAATCGTGTCCCAAAGCATCAACCAATCAAATTGCTTATCTCTGCTTACCCTAAGCAGAAAATCCTCATCTTCGAACTTCATCAAGGCACTGACACAATAAACACCTACACCAAGTTTGAACATTGTAGCTCAATTAGAAAGAGAGTTATTGTGTCCCAAAAAGTGTGACAGACAGACAGATTTCAAGTTTTGTCAAAATCGGAAATAGTGGATGTATATTGTCGTCGCCCCTGTCTGTCTGTCCATAATTTGTTTGTGGACACTCTACAGGTCAAAATTTTTATGAGATTTTGACAAAACTTGAAATATAGGTCTATCTCCCAAAGATATTGGTTCCTTTCGATATTGGCATGTATCGGGCCATAACTTCATGGATTATGGCCCCAGATTGTACAAAAAATCACGTTTTTATCTTGTTGACACTCGAGAGGTCACAATTTTCATTTGATGTTGATGAAACTTGAAATGCATGTTTATAACCCAAAGATCTTGGTTCATTTCGATATTCGGGCATATCGGACCTTAACTTCCTGAAATATGGCCCCTGATTGTACGAAAAATCACGTTTTTAGCTTTCGGTTCCTTTAGAGGTCACAATTATTATCCAATTTAAAAAAAACGTTTGAATATATCACCAATACACTGTTATGTCAATTAAGTTCGAACTTCGTGAAAATCAGACCAAAACTGCAGGACAAAATGGCCGCCCCTCGTATGCAATGAGTGTAAAAATATGATATATCACGGTTGTGGACCCTCTAGAGGTCACGATTTTGACTCGATTTTGATGAAACTTGATATACTTGTTTATAACCCATGGTTTTACTATTTCACCGTTCCATGCAGTGTATCAGATATATTTATCGTGTGCTAAATAAATCAATTTCTAAAATACTAATAGACTCTTCCGTGCTCATAATTTCGGTTTACTTGTTTGTATGAAATTCATTCTTTTGTCCCCCGAATTTCGAAGAAAGCAGGGGACTATTAAAATGGGTTCGTCCACCTGGTTGTCTGTCTGTCTGTCCGTCACACTTTTTGGGACACAATAACTCTCTTTCTAATTGAGCTACAATGTTCAAACTTGGTGTAGGTGTTTATTAGGTCAATGCCTTGTTGGAGTTCGAAGATGAGCATTTTCTGCTTAGGGTAAGCAGAGAACACTGTGTATCAATTTAAAATCAATCGGATATTAACTTTAGCCTCTAGAGTGTCCAGAAGATTTTTCAAAGTGATCAAGGGCCATAACTCTGGCAATAATTATCGGAAATCGCTGAAAATCAATAGGCTTCTTCGTCTCATGACCTTAAACACTGTGTATAAATTTGAAGTCAATCGGATATTAACTTTAGCCTCTAGAGTGTCCACAAGATTTTTCAAAGTGATCAAGGGCCATAACTCTGGCAAAATTATCGGAAATCGCTGAAAATCAATAGGATTCTTCGTCTCATAATCTTAAACACTGTGTATCAATTTAAAGTCAATCAGATATTAACTTTAGCCTCTAGAGTGTCCACAAGATTTTTCAAAGTCATCAAGGGCCATAACTCTGGCAGTAATTATCGGAAATCTCTGAAAATCAATAGGATTCTTTGTCTCATGACCTTAAACACCGTGTATAAATTTAAAGTACATCGAATAATAACTTTAGCCTCTAGAGCGTCCACAAGATTTTTCAAAGTGATCAAGGGACATAACTCTGGTAGTAATTATCGGAAATTGCTGAAAATCCATTGGATTCTTCGTCTCATGACCTTAAACACTGTGTATAAATTTAATGTCAATCGGATATTAACTTTCACCTCTAGAAAGTCCACAAGATTTTTTAAAGTGATCAAGGACCATAACTCTGGTAGTAATTAATGAAAATCGTTGAAAATCAATAGGCTTCCTCGTCTCAAGACCTTAAATACTGTGTATAAATTTAAAGTCAATCGGATATTAACTTTGACCTCTAGAGGGTCCACAAGATTTTTTGAAGTGATCAAGGGCCATAACTCTGGCAGTAATTATCGAAAATCGCTGAAAATCAATAGGCTTTTTCGTCTCATGACCTAAACACTGTGTACAAAATTTAAAGTCAATCGGATATTAACTTTAGCCTATAGAGCATCCACAATTGCTTGGATGGACCGACGGGGGCGACAACAATATACGACCACATTTCAATGTGGACGTATAAAAATAAGATATCTGAAACTCAAGTAAATTAGTTGGTTCAGAAAACTTATCGGCAACTCATGAAACTTTGTAAATATTTAGACCTTGAGAGAAGTTCTTTTTTTATAATTACCTGTAAAACCTGATCTGTTAATTTCTCTACTTCCTTGTAAAATGTATCCATGAGAATATCTAATGATTCTCTGTAAATATAGATTAATATTATTATATTGTTCTTGAACGATAGCCACACAAAACGTGGAAATACTCCCACACAGCAGCTATGTCTAGAAAGCAGCTTATCCGAAAAGAAACCTTTGATGTTGACCGAATCTGATCAAAATCCTTATGCCCTCAAGCAATCTGGGGCTCTTTCTGACCATTTTGGGAAAACACATCTGTGCCAGTTCGGAAATTTAATGCGAAACAAAGTCAAATTTGGAAAAGTAACCCGGAAACTGCATGCTTTCTAATAACAAATTTTAAAAGGGGTTTACATGCCATTTTAGTCCTGTGTGTATTCTTTGAACTTCGAAATCACTTATCACTAGGGTTTGGTATCGTTTAGAATGGGGTTTTTAGCGCTGTAAAGTATGCATAGAGTTTACTTTCAAAAGATTGTTCGATAACTGATAAAAAATCATTTAAGAATTACATAAATGGGTTAGTTAATACTATGACTTAGATTACTGGTTATGGGTTTAGTTTCTCCGAGAGTTGTTTAAAAATGGCCGATCCGTTCACTTATCTACGAGGTTTACTTGTTAGACGAGCCGTCTGCTTTCCCCGAGATACGTTGAAAAATCAACACACCGTTTACTTATCTACGGCCTTTACTTATCAGACGATCCGTTTTAATTTCCGGAGATACTTTGAAAAATCAACACATGATTAATTTATCTACGGCTTTGAAAAATTAGATGAACCTTTTAATTTCCCGCGAGCCGTTTATCCGATCGATTAATTTTGATTACGCTTATTTACATATGAAGTACGAATAAAAAAGGGGAATATAAAAAATGCACACCCATAGATGATCACTTTACCGTGGTCGTAGTATTATATATTATCCATTATCCTATAAACTTAGTATTCCACCATTGACAAATCAAAAATCGGTAAATCACGTCCCAGGTAATTATACAATTGGAAATCGGTAAATCACGTCCCTGGTAATGTATCTTTTTTAAATCACAAATGAATTAACTAGTCTTCCATCTGTACACGTTTTCATAAATCAAGCTTACAATGGCAGTCTGATAATCTCGTGAGACTGTACATTAGATTGGCGCCAAAAAAAGTCACTGTCAATCTCTATAGACAAGCTGTCGCCCATTTTCAGACAGCGTAATTACTTGATTGGGGGCTTCTGTGTAATTTAGTTGATTATTGGGTACAGGTGTTAAATTTTGGTACTGATTCAAAATCAACATTCCCGAAAAAGAAAAGGGTTTATAAATAAAACAGAACACAGAGAACAAGCTAATAAGAAAGTGATTTTTCCTACAATCAAGGGCCATAATTCAGGCAGTTACGGTCCGATATGCGAAAATATCGAAAGGAACCAAGATCTTTGGGTTATGAACTTATATTTCAAGTTTCAACAAAATCGAATTAAAATTGTGACCTCTATAGGGTCCACAACCTTGATATACCATATTTTTACGCTATTTGAGAACGAAGGGCAGCCATTTTGTCTGTCAGTTTTGGGCCGATTTTCACGAAATTCGAATTCAGCTGTCCTTAGGGTGTAACGGCGGCAATACTATATACCGGAAAACAACCGGAAAACACCATTTTATACTGAATACCGGAAAACACCGGAAAAACACTAAATACCGGAAAACATCCTAAATACCGGAAAACACCCTAAATAGGTAACCGGGAACCTGGTCCTCTGTGTGTGGTTTTGGACCAAATGAGCGCCGACGAAGGAAGGCCAAGGTCATTACGATGTTCGTTTTACAAATACCCCTCCACCCCCCCAAAAAAAATTTCCGATTTTTTTTTCTCCAAAATTTTTTTGCAGAAAAATATATTTTCTGTCACGATGTTCGTTTTCAAATACCCCTCCACCCCCCAAAAAAAATTTCCGATATTTTTTTCTCCAAAATTTTTGGGACGAAAAAAAATTTCGGTCACAAAAAAAAAAATTTGAATTTTTCCGAATATAGGATGGAGTCATAAATGAACGTTATTACATAGATTGATTATTTGATTAGTCGAATGCTATTGTTTTATTAATTCACACATGTGGTCAAGTGCCTGGGTGCCATATGAAACCATGTTTTTGAATATACATGTTCGTAAGTACAATATGGATTAATTCTTCGATTGGTCGAATGCTATTGTTTTATTAATTCTCACCTGTCTGGGTGCCATACAAAATCATGCCTTTGAATGTACAGTTGAGTCATAAATGTCCCTTTTTATTAACATTAATTATTCGAATGCTGTTGTTTTATTAATTCCCACCTGTAGTTACCAGCCGGGTGCGGGTCAGTTCATCCCACAACCATTTGACCTCGGACTGTTTCAAGTTTTTATTACCCTTGAGTCACAGACTCATTGGGAAAAGCAAAAATATTTACAAAACAAAAAAAAAGCAATACAAATATCCATATATACGAATATATAAACACAGTATTACAAACAAGAATCATGATATGGAGAGTAGAGTGATGGTATATTAATTGTTACTATTCCGTTTAATCTCTTCATGATTTTGGGGTAATGAACTTAAACTCAGCAGTCGAGTATCGACCCCTTCTTGGTCCTGATGCTAGCTAAAACTTGATTATATTCTTCCTGTAATCTTAATATATATCTACATTAATACTCCTATACATGTATATTGATATTTATATAATATATGTTTATATCATTTATATATCTTGCTTTTGGGAAGCCGATTTATATAAGCCTTTGGCTTGTTTCGGTATCCTGTGAATAAAATACATTTTTAGTACATAAAAGATTAAATAATTTAAAAACACTAGGGTTCGAATAATAATACTTTTTTATATATTATTATCTCAGATTTTTATAAATTGGACAAATTAAAACAAAATGGTACTCAACTTCAATGTCTTCAAAATTACACAATGTACATAATCGTTAACTTCTCTCAATATATTTAGTACTATATCATAACCTTTCAATATTTAAATTATGACTGGACAAGCGGGTTCTTGTAATTTCTTGTCTGTTTTTTCTATCTATTGATTTAGTCAAATAATATTGTAAGCCAAATGTATTCACAATATGCTTATAAATGATACATTTACTTGATAATTCAAATTTCTCAATACACTCCTGTCTAAATATGTCTAATAATCTTTGTCTGATGATATGGATACAATTTGTGTTTATGAGATGAGCAGGTTTTTCCCATTAATCTACCAAGCCAATTTTAAAAAGTTTCTTCTTAACATTCAGGACCCACGGGTCATTATTTATTAACATATTAGAGTAGCAAGAATTAAGTAAGACATTAGTAGAAGAACGTATTTTAATCCAGTATTTAAATATCTGTAACTTTCTCGTAATGATTAAAGGGACACATCCAAGTTCATAATAGATCATGTGGGAATTTGTGGTTGTTCTTGTATCTAAGATTTTCCTAAGGTATCTTAAATGTATTTGTTCTATATCATGTCCTGAATGAAAACCCCATAATTTGAATACAAGAGATAAAAGTATAAAAAATACAAAGTTTAGTTACAATATTAAAATAATTTTCATTACAAACTTTTGAGACTGAGAAGAGAGCTTTTCGACCCTGTTCATCAATGTGTTTTTGTATAATTAGATATTTACCATTAAAAATTATTTTATCGTTCTGTTTTATCCCGGGGTGTTTCATCCCCCTTGTTATTATAATTAACTGAGTTGTACTTACCGTGAAACAAAATGTTAAACACTTACTTATTGTTACATAAACAATAATGTATGGAATAAATAAGTTTTACTCGTCGATTTTTGTTGATTACCGATCACGACCAGGATTAGTTCCCCGCTGTATATTCGTATTGTTTGTTAATTGGCGTTATGATTTTAGATCTTAGGTCAGTTCACCGATGTTTTTGTAGTAAAGTATATTTGTATTGTTTTTATAATTGTCGTTATGATTTTAGATTAGTTCACCAATGTTTTTGTAATAAAGTATACTCGTGTTGTTTGTTAGTTTATGATGTCTAACATCATTTATCTTCTTTATAAAAAAAAATATTCTATAATTACATATTGCCAGCTTAATTACTCGCCAAAATACATCATTTACTCTACGTATTACCCAATAATCAACTAAATTGCACAGGGGCCCCCAATCAAGTGATTACGTTGTCTGAAAATGAGTGACAGCTTGTCTATAGAGATTGACAGTGATTTTTTATTTGGCGCCAGTCTAATGTACAGTCTTGCGAGATTATCGCACTGACTTATGACCACATGTACATATGGAAGACTGGTTAATTCATTTGTGATTTAAAAAAGATACATTACCTGGGATGTGATTTACCGATTGACAATTGTATAATTACCTGGGACGTGATTTACCGATTTTTGATTTATTTGTCAATGGTGGAATACTAAGTTTATAGGATAATGGATAATATATAATACTTAGACCACGGTAAGGTTATCATCTATGGGTGTGCATTTTTTATATTCCCCTTTTTTAATCGTACTTCATATGTAAATAATCGTAATCAAAATTAACCGATCGGATAAACGGCTCGCGGGAAATTAAAAGGTTCGTCTAATTTTTCAACGCCGTAGATAAATCAAACGTGTGTTGATGTTTCAACGTATCTCGGGAAATTAAACGGCTCGTCTAATAAGTAGAGGCCGTAGATAAGTAAATGGTGTGTTGATTATTCAACGTATCCCGAGAAAGCAGACGGCTCGTCTAATAAGTAAACGTCGTAGATAAGTGAACGGGTCGGCCATTTTTAAACGACTCTCGGAGAAACTAAACCTGTTACCATTAAACTAAGTCATAGTACTAACTAACCCATTTATGTAATTCTTAAACGATTTTTTATCAATTATCGAACAGTGTTTTGAAAGTAAACTCTATGCATACTTTCCAGCGCTAAAAACCCTGTTATAAACGATACCAAATCCCTAGTGTATACTGTGAGTTAAAACAATTTTTGGCAATTCACACTGTAACCCAGGTATCGTTTAATTTTGGGTATTT